ATATATATATATATATATATATATATATATATATATATATATATATATATATATATATATATATATATATATATATATATATATATATATATATATATATATATATATATATATATATATATATATATATATATATATATATATATATATATATATATATATATATATATATATATATATATATATAGGTTGAGTAAGAATGCACCTTGGTGAAAGAAATAAGAATAAAATATGGCCTTTGGATCTGATGCATCGTGCGGCTCAGATTGCATTCTGCACTCAAATTTTGAGATAGTGCATTTTCAAAGGATTATGATGCATTTCGACATGATGCATTTTCAAACCATCTTGGTGCAACTAATTTTGATGCAATCCTAACCCTTAGATCTCTCAATCTAATGCACCAAATTCATTCTTATTTCTTTCATTAGATTGCATTCTCACCTGAACCAAAATCTATATATCTGTGTGTGTGTGTGTGTATAGGGGCCGGTTCAAATGAGAATGCACCTTGGTAAAAGAAATAAGAATAAAATCTAGCCTTTGGATATGATGCATCGTGCGGCTCAGATTGCATCATGCGCTCAGATTTTGAGATAGTGCATTTTCAAAGGATTTTGGTGCATTTCTACATGATGCATTTTCAAATCAATTTGGTGCACCTAATTTCGAAGCAATCCTGGCCCTTATATCTCACAATCTAAAGCACCAGATTCATTCTTATTTCTTTCAGAAGATCGCATTCTCACCGGAACCTATATATATAATTTTTAACATTGATATATATCCCATTTTTACAACATTTTAATTTTTAACGTTGATATTTTATTTTGTTGGATTTTTTAAAAATGTTGTATCAAAGAAAAAATTCAAAATTAAAATATAAAATTCGTTCCATTCCGTACATGACACAGGTTAAATACTAATTTCCACCAATTTATTTTACGAAGTACAACGTACGTGGTGGATGATATTGGAATCATATGGATATCAAATGGCCCAATATATGCTAGGCTTTCTCTAATTTAATTAAACGTATACACTTTGGCACTGGAATGGGCTTAAGCTTTGACTTGTACATAGTACATACCCCATGAACAAGTGGAGTTTTGGAACACTTCTTTTGTTCAACAGCAAATAGCCCAGCCCAGTATCAATAAACGAAAACTAATTTTCAAAATTAGAAAACAGACTTATTTTCTGTATGATATGTCATATATGTCTTCATTAGCAACAAGTATTGGATAATTACTTATCATACGAATGACTTTACAAATATGATCATTAACAACATACTCCGTATGTTGCAATATGCCTGGTTATTTTAATGACTATTCAATTTTTTTTAATAATGTATTATTTTACTTGATTGAGTAATATGTCACTCTTTTCAAAGACATGGTATTTTAGAACTTTTCATTGCCAACCGTAAGAGTAAATAGGATCGGTCCTATTTGAGGAAAAATGATACTCCATCCATCCCACAAAACTTTTCTCCTTTCTTTTTTCATTAATCCCAAAATACTTTTCTCATTTTTATAAAAAAAGCACTTTTATCCATATTAATTCTTAACCTACCTATCACATCACACTTTTTCATTATTAATCTACATATCACATCTACTTTTATCCATCACATCTAAGGACATTTTTTAAAAGTCAACATCAAAATATACTCCCTTTAAATCTTATAAAAGTCAAAACCAGAAAGATTTTGTGAGACGAAGGGAGTATGTTTAAGTTCCATTTGGGTAGATTGCTCTTTTATAAACTTATACTCTCTATTGTAACATGTTTGAAATATGGAGTAACACGTTTTAAACTTAATTAAATAGGGAGTAACATTTTAGTATTTTACTCCCTAATACTCCCTCCGTCCCCCATAGATTTTCCCATTAATTTTTTTATTTGTCCCACATAGATCTTCTCATTATCTTTTTTAACATTTAAAATACCACAACTACCCCTTTTACTTTATTTATTACACCTTTTCCACCTTATTTAATACACCCCACCCATTTCCATTAAGGGTATTTTGGTAAACTTTCAATTTTTTTCAGCTCTCCTTAAAAACCACAAAAAGTCAAAACGAGAAGATCTTATGGGGACGGAGGGAGTAAGGAGTAACAAAATTCTCATAATAAAAGGAGTGGAGAACATTACTTCAGAAGTTGATAATAAAGAA